CTGTCTTCTAGATTTATTAATTCCCTGATCATTGTACGCTGTGCGAATGTTTGATATATATATATAAGTTTCGATGATTAAATGAAAAATATATAAAAATGATAATAGACAACATGTTTGTTTTTCGTTTGTTGTTTCGCACATACATTAGGCCGTTAGTTTTCTCGTTTGAATTGTTTTACATTTGTCATTTCGGGACTTTCTAAAGCTTACTGTACGGTATGGGTTTTGATCATTGTTGAAGGCCACACGATGACATATAGTTGTTAACTTCTACATCATGTGGTCTTTGATGGGGAGTTAACTCATCGGCAATCATACCACACCTTCTTTTTTTTAATAAATTTTCAAGTTACTTTTGTCAGTCCCGTAAAGATACGTAAATTTCTAATTTTCAAATTCTAGTCAAATTGCAGATGCATCCACTTTCTGTATATATTTACATTATGAATGTTGAAAACTGTAGCTTTCCAATAATTCATAGCAAAAAAATACATTCTAAATTGTACTTACCTTGGCTTCATAACGACGACGATTTTTATCAATATCAAATAACAGATGAATAAAATTGAGAATGGAATTGGGGAATGTGTCAAAGAGACAACAACCCGACCAAAGATCAGAAAACAGCCGAAGGCAACCAATGGGTGTTCAAAACAGCGAGAAAAGCCCAAAACACGGAGATTGGTAACCCTACCGAAAACTTAATAAATATGTAAAATTGTCTTACTGTTGTTTTCATATCAGTATGCTTTCTCCCCTGAATTCATTTGGATCTGTTGGTCTATTGATTACAAGAAGTGTTGTTCATAGTGTCGTAATATGTTACAATAGAGCTATACATGTACGTCATTTTTCTAAGCTATGTTAACAACTGATTTCCCCTTTCTTTATCAGTAACTTAACATTACTTTTGTTTGATATTAACATGATTACAAAAGGTGTTGTGATATTTATACAATAGTTTGTTTTTCCTTTTGACATGATGTATGTCACTCTGACATTTAAAAATAGTAAAGATACTGCTATATGTAACAATCAAAGATAACAAAATAAATAAAAAGCATTTTACCTGATTATCGGAGTATAGTAAATAGTTCCTAATTATATATAACTACCGTGCAAAGATAAAACTTCGTCATATAAAACCTATGATGCAAATCGGATAGTATAGGATACAATCTCCTAATAACATTAGCAATCTCTACAAAATTGGTCACGGTATTTAGACTTCAATGCGCCTTCCAATATTACATAAAATAACAATCTGACAGCGAAGTGCACACATTCTCAAATGTATATTTGTAATAATCTTTATTTATTGGTCACGTGGTTTAAGACTTAAATACGATTTCGGTAGTTCGGTCGTTGACATATGACTTACATCTTGTATTATTTTAATTTGCTTTATTTTTTTTTGAAGTCACTCTTAAAAACTCTTGAAGCGTACAATGTCTATGAAAAATTGATACTTTTTTCTAAAGGACAAATCAGCGAAATCTTTATAAATAAAATGAAAATAACACTGTATAGATTGTATGCGTTCGAGTTTATCGGGATCAACCTTTATCCAAAACGCTAGAAACCAAATATTTGACAGCCAAGGATATATAAATATCAAAACATTTGATGAGCTATATGACCAAAGGGACCTAAAATTACGACAACATCCATTTAACTGTAAGGTCAACTTTGCCTGAAAGTATTGTCATCTTGTATATTACGATGTATCTTTAACATGCCATGAGTGAGACTTTGTAACGAATTTTGTCATCGAAAATTTTCTTATAAGTGTAGGAAATTGCTAACCATTCAAATACACAAAAATGACTGCAACAACCATGTAAATACAAATCTGTTGCACTAGTACAAAGGTTGAAATTAAACTATCTCCTTTTCTACTCGCCTTATGAATTTTTTTTTATTTTTTTGTTTTTTTTTGTTTTTTTTTTTGTTATTTTCACCGGTATATCCATTTACAACAGATTTGTATAGTTTGTTCTTATGTTGTATAGGTAAGGTGATGTCTCCGATTAGAAGGGATGTTGAGCGCTCGCAAACATGTTTAACTGCGCCTCATTCTTTCTGTTCCAAATCAGAAGCCTGGAAATACATTGTTGTCGTTAGGTTATGTCTGTTGTATTTGTTTGTTTGTAAATTGCCTTCTATCCTATACATAGAAATCCGTTTGGCTTCAAATTCATTAAAAATTATTTAATACTTTCAACTATGTATAAATGCCGAACGCCTCAAGCGACATATATTTCTAAAGAGACTTCCGAATATCGTCAACTGTCATTTATTTAAAAGTGTTCTACGTAGAAATGTTGTGTTTATTTGCAGGAAGTACTTGGACAATTATTTGGTGTATATAACAAGTAAATGAAGTCGCTAAAAAAAAGAAGAAAAAACAAATCAATATATAGAATACTTCCCATCGTCTGAATAGTGTACATCAAAACATTTTCTGCGACATTCTCATTTTTTCTTTGGCAAGGACTATTATAATTGCTTACATCATTGCTCAAGTAGTAATTTTACATATCAGATCATACATTATTGCGTAGGCTACACAGAACTGACAAACATGATTGGATGTTCAGGCAAATTAGTATCGCGTTCATTTAAACAAGTACACATACAACCATTTTTTAAAATGTATATACAAGTTGATCGGAATTTGTGATGTGAAACACATATGCCGCCATTATAAAAGTTTACGTAATATTATTATATTTTTCCTTTTATAATAATTTATTTCTTACTATTCACAAGCATTTTAGAATTACATTGGTTGATTTATATTTCCTTCAGTTTTGTGGCAAACATTTCTCTGCAGAAGACATTTCATTGAAGATTGATAATTGACAATTGCTAGAAACAGAGTTTTCCCCATACATTTCATTGAACTCATTTATTGAAATTCATCATAAAAATTTCAAACTGGCAAACAATGATAAGAAAGCTATGTTTTTCCAGTCAGTACATAACTTTTATTAAGATAATGTATTTGTCATTAAACATCCCTGCCTCGTGCTCTCTTGCATTGCCTCTTTATAAACAGTAAATTACGAGAAAATGATTTTTTTTGCTAGCTCGTGATTGAATTGGACAACAATTGCGGTTCTGAGAACAAAACTCTGATGTCATACGAAAACAATCGTTTCAACTACAGAAACAGATATTACCGGTTCAAAGCAACAGTTGTATTAAAATTGCCTCAATGAAGAGGATATTTAGGCAGCACTAGTTGACCGATGTTCCAATCTCAAAATTTAATAGATTAAGAAGACACACACAAAAGAATCTAACAAAAAGTGAGCGAATTGCATGAACCCCGTCGGAAGGGAGATCTTTCTATGCATGCATTGCCGGCCAAACGGATCCACAATCAGTGAAACTTCAATAATTGGAAATACGACAAAATCGGTTAAATTGCAAGTCAGATGACTTTTTTGGAATCTAAAAATCTGACACTACGGACACATGTCGCTAGTGAGTTTAGACACAGACACATCGTAGTGTTCAGTTCGTGATGATGATGGTGAAACATATATAGTGTCGATTTTAGTCATTCTTACTAATAACTCTGTTGAAACAAATTTTTTGTATGGAACACATCCTTGTCATTACAGTTAGTTAAGTGTTAACATAGCGTTATATATTCAATGTTTATACGTCATAGAACATCGGGTAGAGGACATGTATTTGCTGAAAATGAGAAATAAGTTGAAATCAGCACGTTTAACATCATATTTTTAGTTGAATTCATCCATCAAGATATGGAGCAGACCTGCTAGTTTCGGTAGTATCCCTAATCCTAAGTCCACTTTGATATATGTGATATATACACTCACTGAAATGAGGCTTATAGAATGAACGAACGCTACCCTACATCTGAAAATTAAATTTAAAACTCCTATTCATTTTTCTTTGACTGTTTTCTATGAATTATGCTTAATATAAGACCAAAATAAGTCAACCAGGATGGTGTACAGTACCCATTAGAATACCTACTGTCTGTTGTCTGTTAAAATATCAATCAACAAACACATATGCTGTCGTGTAGATTAAAATGTCCTATATTTGTATGATATCATATTCGCTGTATTCGTTGTTGGAATATGTATGGTTTTCACAAATTAAGATTTTTTTCATCAACTTAAGCAAGGAATATGCAGCTACAATTCCCATTTTTTTTGTAGAAAAGCTATCTTTAACAAGATCATGTAGACGATCATTCAATTGAGCATTTGAAATATTTGTATAAAGTGTAGAAAAAATAAAAAAATTGTTATGACTGCAAAAGTATAGAGACTGTGATCATTTTTGGAGTAGATCTGCAATATACCCAACACAATATTTGCGACGACCATCTTTTACTGTAGAAAGACTGTTGTAAGAACTTTATAAAGATGTTAAGTGGTACATCGTTCTTCATGTAAATTTCTCTAAAGTGTAGGTATCCAGTTTAATTACGGAAGATTAGCATCGTCCTTCTTATGTTAACTCAAAATGAGAGAAGGACGGATTTATCATTTTCTAAAATCCGCTCATTCGTGAACGATGAAGAGGTAAATGTGGAATTAACAGTTTTGCTATGAATTTTAAAGTCTTTAGTTGGATATTGCAAAATGTGATTTTTGTATTATATAAAATCAATACTGCTGTCTGCTAAAATAACATCAAATTTGTCGCCAAAAGAGGATAATCATCTATATTAAAACTCCGGGCTTTTTGATTGGGTTAGAAACCCGTGTTCTCATCACTCATCGCATATTTGAATGTGTTGCGGAATGAATGACTGAACAGCTTACATCAATAAAATTGTGTTCTGTTTTGCGTTATCTGCATCGCGCTTTACCCATTTTCTGCAAAAATCTACAACTGCATCTATCGTGAAGTTCTTCATCCAGTTGATGTGTTTCGGATTTCTTGTTTAAAGCTAAAACATAATATACAAAAAAGATATTGGTAAAATAACTGACATATTGCTGTGATGATATATAAGGTATTATTATGATATTATTTAAATGCAAAGGTGAGTGAAGCATAATGAGTTTCATTTTTTCTCACAAATATATGATGTTCTTTCTGAACATTGATAATCATTCCATCTGTAGTTAACCGATTTACGCATGTGTACACAATCCTCATTGTTGTCATCGTTAGGTTCACCAGGAAACCAGTCCGTGAAGGTAAGATTTGTATTGTCGGATTCCCATATGAAATTTGATTCTTGCTCAGAATCGTGTGCTCCAATCCAAACAGAATTTGGATTGTCTGAAATGAAATAAAAATGGAACTCAAATATCAGGAAAGCCATGATAAAGTATTGACGAAATGATCAAATTATTATATTTTATCATTAATAGCCACAACGTATTCACCTAAATCTACTCGTCTATCGACTCAATGATTATCAGTTAAGTAACGTCATTAATGCTTGAATTCCGTTCTTAAACAAATTTGCTGAAAGCGACTTTCTACATTTACATAATGTTTGATTCTTTAAGTTTCTTACCGTATGCATTATACTTTACTTTGCCCATTTTTGTAACAGACCAACATGTACAAATATTCTTCAGATTGCGTCCAAACAAAAGTGTAAAGAGACGAGCTTCATCAGATTATCAAAATGGCTGAAATCAGCGACTCTCAAATTAATACCTTAATTCACTTCTTTACTTGAAATGTTTAAAGAGGAGACTGGAATGCAAATTTCCAGTTTTTACAGGGAATAAAAGTATAGTTTTGAACAAAAGTATAGTTTTTAAAGAAATGTATCTTCACCAATATTAAGGAATCTCGCTCCTTTTGTCAAAATTCGACACCCTAGGATCGTAGGGATAGGTGGTATCTCAGTAAAAAAAAGTCCACACGCACTGGTACCTACACAATATTACATTTTTAGTACAAAAAATGCCTTGCATAAGATTGAAATTTTAAGATGGTATTATCTAAATGTTTTGATAGATAAGATGATATGCAGGTATTTTGTATGATTTCACAATGTTCACTACCCTGTTATGAAATCTTCTTTTTTTAAATTGAAAAAAAAAAATTATATTCATACAAATATTCACTGGTGCAGTGCGTTTATTCACTAATATTTTAAATGTAACTCACGGTATTTGATATATGTTTTTAAGAACCAATTTTCAACGGCATTGTCTATTTTTAGAAGAAATCCTCCTTTTCTATGACAGTCATCCTGCAACGCAAAATCAAACATAAATAATTTGACTTCATGTTTTGGAAGGAGGATTGAGGTTATATGTTTTTTTTATCCCCGCCACATTCATAATGTGTCCTTTCCAAGCATGGGCCAGGTAATTAATTGGTTTTTGTCTGCCATACCTGTTTACCGGTTATTGCTGAAGTATTAATGAGGCTGTTGGTTTTCTCTAATAACATGTTTCACAAGTTTTGCTCATATGAAGGTCATCCTGTGATCTGTAGTCTTTTACATCTTTGTCATTTGGTCTTTCGTTGCTAGTTGTCGCATTTGTAATCAATTCGTTTCTTTTTTTTTAAATAAAGGCAAACAATGACACAAATTTATAGATGTAGACCTGGAACTAAGTGCGTAAGTACATTTATCACCTTAAGCATTGCATATCAAAATAAACATGGACACAAAAATTGATGAAAATATAAAATACACGGAAAACAAATGAATAGTATTACGATTGAACGCATCAATCGATGACAATATAGATTAAGATCACATATGAACCGTGTCATATTAATTCACGAATATCCCTACAAGCATTAAAATCTTTGATATATTAGATGTATCTCATAAACAAATCAATTTTGTTTATTATATCCTTAATTAACAATAACAGTTTTGATTACCTTTGGAAAATGCCATATAATTTGAGAAAGGGTTAATATTTATTTTTTTAAATATGGACCCAAAAAGGTAATTAAAGTTTTCATCAGATAAGACAATTGTCATTGTATATTTTTGGAACGTAAATAAAACTGTCTTATTTCCATAATTTGACCCAAAATGTTCGACAAATTGAGATTAAGTAGATGAACAATATTCAGAAAATGAATAGCACTTCATTTAGAAAGCTTTTTACAAATCTGTTATTTATTTATTTATGTATTTATTTATTTATTTAATTATTCATTCATTCTTTCTTTCTTTCATTCAATCATTCATTCATTCATTCATTCATTCATTCATTCATTCATTCATTCATTCATTTATTTATTCATTCATTCATTCATCCATTCATACGTTCGTTCGTTCGTTTGTTCGTTTGTTCGTTCGTTCTTTCGTTCATTCATTCATTCATTTATTTATTTACTAATTATTTATTTATTTATTTATTTATTTATTTATTTATTTATTTATTTATTTATTTATTTATCTATTTATCTATTTATCTATGTATTTATTTATTTACAAGTACTAATGTTTATATTGATGTGGATATATTTTGATTCGCGTACTTATATCAAATGCAGCCATTTTCTGGTCAACAAAAGAGGGTAATAAACGGGGGTATGCATTTATTGTGTTTACCTGATTTCTGAAGTTGTAATATTCAACTGCTCTACGTAAGTAAGTAAAAGAGACGGTTTACAAGTAGAGCCTAAATCAATTGGTCATTATTGTGTTGTAAAAGAAGTCCAACTCAGACAAAACATAGTGCGTTTGGTGTTTTTGTTTACTAAGACTAGCAAAAAAAGTTTTCATTTATGACATTTTTGTAATGTGAATTAAATTCAAACCAACTTAACCCACATTTACTTGTCGTTAAATTACAACTCTAGAATTAATGTGCTACATCAAATGATCAGTGACGATTTCAGAAATCAAAGTGTTAATTTTAGTATTAAGTGACTTCCGGGATATCACGTGTTAAAATACAAGATGTTAGTATAGATTGCGAATATGCACGAAGAAAGGTGATACGTGACATGTCAGATAAATAAGACCCCCTACTTGACAATATGTAATCCAGATATTTCACATCTGTCCAGATGTCTTTAACAAGGAATATTGTTTTTGGTTTTACTATTTGAAAATGCGATATGTTCCCTATTTTTTTAAGTATATATAGATACCAAAAAATATATTTATGACTGTCAATGAGACAAATAACAATGTAAAACAATTTAAAAGGAAAAAAAAAACAACGGCCTGATTAATCTTACAACAATGAACGAACAATAATTTTGGAGGAAAGGCATTGGAAAGGCACATAATGAATGTACCGGGGTTTAGCAAGTTTCCGAGTGGTATTTCTCTTTCTCCCCCCGCCCTAACCTGTGATGGTGGTGAATCAACACTATGTGAGAACAAAACGTAAAAATAATTTAGAAAGGGCATTAATCATCAGATCGGAACTAAAAAAAAAACCAAACCAAACGACACAAAGTTACAATCTAAGAATACTCTTTTTTGCTAAAAACTAGTGCAATGTCATATTTCAAAGACTAAATAGATAGCAATTGAAGTATTTTATTGTTCTACCTCCATGACAAATATGTTGTTGTCCCCGCAGATAAAGCCCCAAACAACATCGTTTTTGTGTGTAAATATCATTACATAAACTGCTTGATAAATGAATTAGGTATTGACAATTCACTTGGAAACTCAACAAATACCCTCACGACACTTACCAAAGAGGAAATCCTGGATAATCATAGGTCTGTTCTATGTTCCTTTGGAATTTCAACCAAAGATGAAGAACTGGATCTTCCATCACTGTATTGGATACCTAAACTACATAATTGCCTTACAAACAACGGTATATTGCTGGGTCTTCCAAGTGCTCCACGAAACCTCTTTCTAAATTATTAACATCTATTTTATCAGCAATCAAAGCCGGGCTCCAAAGTCATTGTGAAACTGCCTATTCTAGAGGTGGCGTGAATCAGATGTGGATACTAAAAAATTCCAAAGATTTTTTAGAGTACATACAATCTAAGACTCTCTCATCTTGCAATAGTATTAACACATTTGACTTTTCTACACTTTACACAAGTATTCCCTATTCCAAACTAAAAGACAAATTGAAAGAGTTGGTATTACTTTGTTTCATTAAAAAGTATGGCGAACGTAGATACAAGTATCTTATCTTGGGGAGGGATAAGTCTTACTTTGCAAAGAATCACTCTGATTCAAACAAAAAATTCTCTGAAACTAACAATATCAAGATGCTTGATTTCTTGATTGACAACATATTTGTTACGTTCGGAGGACGTGTTTTTCAACAGACTGTCGGAATTCCAATGGGAACCAATAGTGCCCCTCTTCTTGCCGACTTGTTTCTTTATTATTATGAGGTGACTTCATACAGGAACTTCTTAGGAAGAAAGAAAAGAAGTTAGCAATATCCTTTAACTCTACGTTCCGCTATATAGATGATGTTCTCACACTGAATAATACAAAATTTGGTGACTATGTTGAACGAATCTATCCCATCAAACTAGAGATAAAGGATACTACAGATACAGTTAAGTCTGCCTCATATCTTGACTTACATCTAGAAATTGACAATGAGGGTCGGTTGAAAACAAAACTTTACGACAAAAGAGATGATTTCAGCTTCCCAATTGTGAACTTTCCATTTCTATGTATCAACATTCCAGCAGCGCCTGCATACGGAGTATATATCTCCCAATTGATACGATATTCCCGGGCTTGTGTTTCCTATCATGATTTTCTTGATAGAGGATTGCTGCTCACAAGGAAGCTATTAAGGCAAGAGTTCCAAATGGTTAAGTTGAAATCATCCATTCGTAAATTTTACGGACGCCATCACGAGTTGGTTGACCGTTATGGAATAACCGTTTCACAGATGATATTGGATATGTTCCTTATGTCGTAACTACAATATCCTCCCCTTTTCACGAATGTGACTTACCGAATTAGACTATTTACCGGATTTGTAATAACATAAGCTACACGACGGTTGCCACATGTGGAGCAGGATCTGCTTACCCTTCCGGAGCACCTGAGATCACCCACAGTTTTGGTGGGGTTCGTGTTGCTTAGTCTTTAGTTTTCTATGTTGTGTCATCTGTACTATTATTTGTCTGTTTGTCTTTTTATTTTTGGCCATGGCGTTGTCAGTTTGTTTTCGACCTATGAGTTTGACTGTCCCTCTGGTATCTTTTGTCCCTCTTTTATCTTATTTATTGTCTTGTATGTCTCAAAATCGAAGTCTTTTAAAAGTACCTCTGTATCAGCCGGGGTCGAACCCAAGACCAATGACACTGCATATCATGGGTCTACAAACTGTGCGAAATGAGAACTTCACAATCACAACTACGTTAACCAACATGAAGAGTCTGTATACCAAACAAATCGATATCCGCTTTCAAACCCATTCTAAAGTAGCAATACACAGGTAGCATTTCAAGCTGAAATTGGGTCTCTAAGTGTAGGAACATGGACAGGCATTTTGAGATGGATAGTGCCATTTTAACATTGATACCCAAACATGTATACATATTTAGAATCCTATTTCTTAGCAGATTTAAAACCACTTAAAAAAGTTAAAACTAAATAACATAAGTTCAGTATCCATGGAAACATATGATTTTAGTTTTCTAATTTTTTCTTCAAAAATGGCTGTGAGACTTAAACCTAAATCTATTCAGACATTTGATGTATAAAAATTGTTGAAATGTATGTTTTTAGTTTTCAAAGTTGATAAATGATATTCAAATTTTAAAATGAACTCAGAATTATTAAGAAAACAAAAGTGACTTTTATCAATGTACATACATGCATTAAATAAATTGAACATGCATTCATAGAAATGATCCTTTTTAAACAAATTGTTATAACTTAAACCTAAAAAACACATCATAGTTACCTGGAATTTAAGTTTGTACGCCAGACGGGCGTTGTCTAAAAAAGACTCATCAGTGACGTTCGAATCAAAAATAAAAATGCCAAATACAGTACGAAGTTGAAGAACATTGAGGACCCTGAATCCAAAAAAAAAAAGCGAGGTATATATTGAGCAAATAGATCTTAATGGTAAAGTTGCAATCTTCTTACGGAGGCAATGTTGATTGGTTGTCCTTCGTGACATGTCTTTATCACCGATCGATTACCACGGATATTTCTACTTGTAAACACATGCAATCCCGATTTATTCCTTTGCTGTGACATCTCCGATTGCGAATTATCACATAATATTTGTTTCCCAAAGCTGCTTGCTAGTGAAGCAGAAACTACTAACCCTCCGGACCACATTAGTTTACCTAAGATACAGATGATGTTCATGTTTCTCAATCTTTGGTTTTCTGATTACTTATTTGGAGAGTTATGTTTTTCTGTCTTTCTCTGATTGGTATTTGATCTCCCCTTGGTATATTCTCCCCTTTTTATTAGCATATCCTTTCACATCTAATACAAAAATCAAAACTGCACAATATGAAAATAAGCGTTTGTAATACTGCAGTGGATATGTTTAATGCATCCGTTATTTTGAATCGATGTCTTAACAATTCAATCGCTGACATTCAAATTTGTGTTGTATTAAACATGAATTTTATTTTTCATTTTCTTTCAGTTAGGGCTATTTATTAAATAACAAAAGTAACCTCTTTCTTCAGTACAGGGGTTTTCGCAGTGCTGTTATTGGTTGGTAAAACAAACGTTAGTTTTTAATCCTATAATGAAACAGCCATTATTCGACGTTTTCACGATAATAGCACACAATAGACATTCAAAGATTTATAAAGAAAATGGAAGTTATATTTGTTGTTGTGTTTCAACTGTGATTTTATTTAATCTTTCGAGAAGCTCGTTGAAAATCAAACTCTCCATTGCTGTGTTGGGAAATAAACATTTGGTGACATGTGATAATGAATATTCGAGTAATGACCTTAACAAAATTATTCTGAAATCTATACCGTTGATAGTGCCCAATTGAGATCAAATTATTTTACTTTCAAATGCACAACTGACTTAAACTATTTGAAATGTAAATTCAGCCGGACGGATGTCTCAAAACAAGAGGTGAGTTTTGCATGTTTTGAGAACAAAATATGTTTTAAGGCCGACGTTTTAAATCACGATGATGATTCGACGAACGATGTATTGATTAAGAAGAAGCAAGGTAGCTTACCTATATATCTTTACAAGAGATGTGGTAGACTATAAATTTTCTTTAGTCTTTCAAAATGTTTGTTTTAATATTACACTTTGAATTTGGCCCATGCTATTCTATATTTATTTATTTTGCAGCACCATAAAACTTACGTTTGCCGCACTCCATGTCTTTCTTGATCTGAAATGAAAGTAATAGCAACTGCCCATATACTGTTCCCGTCCATCCAAACAAGTCCATTTTTTTCCTGCAAGAAATAAAAATTCCAGTGACATCTTCCGAGTAAGTATCTAATTATCGGTTGATATTATACTTAAGGACTTATTATGATTTCGTTGTTAGAGGGTTTCTGCTAATGAGGAAGCTACTCCTTAATGTGTTCTTTACAAGTATAAATCGTCTCTCCAACGCTTTATGGACACATATGGTTGACAATTATGAAACATATTGTTTACAAGTCGAATCAAACAGAAGGAAAATCATAATATTTGGATAAAGCATTATTATTTGACACATATTGTTGTTACGAACAATGAACTTCACTCGAAATCTAAAATTGCGGATAAGTATTTTGTACCTGATTCTCCTGGTCTTCCTTGTTCTCCCTTTTGTCCATTGTCTCCTACAATTTGATTTGAAATATTAAACCAATACAATTATATCAGAATTCCTTAAGCATAGATCATATATATATATATATATATATATATATATATTACGATTGATGAAAACGTAAAACCCTAAATCAAAAGTATCTTTTTATTTATTCAAGATTTGTCAGAGATAAATAAAATATGAAAAACCAAGAAAGGTAATGTTAATAGTCAAAGAAGGATAGACTTTGTTATGTCTAAAAGAACAATAACAAAATCCATGCCAAAAGTAGACAATTTAAGGTTTGGTAATGCTAAAATATAAATATCGACAAGATGCATGTAGGAGCATGAGTGTTCATAACTGTACAGCCTAAATATGAAGTTATGTTTTCATTTCTTATAAACGATATCAATTATAGTACCGACAAACACAATGTAAAGGTCTACATCAATAACTGTTTTACATTGATAACCTTTCAGAATAAGTTTATTCAAAGGATCATTATTTTATGACCGCATCTACATTATCGGGCTCTGTAAACATCATTACCGTAATATCTTCCCTAATTGATGATAAGTTCTTAGGTTAATCATTCTCATATCAATCATTGCAATTTTATCTGATATATATTTTTTTTAATTCAAATAGCATATTAAGAAGTGAGATGTAGTAATTTTGACACCAAACCATAAGCACTTATAATTAAAAATCAACTTAATTACTAAAACATAAGTTATAATCTTCAAAAAAATCAAAGTTTTTACACTATTATATAAATTATTTGATCTCAATTACACAGAATATTGTCTCAATTTTCAAAAGAATATTAAACATGATTGTCAAAAAACAAATATTAAATTAACTTTACATCTATTTTAGTTTCAGAATGTGTAAATTAAACACCACAAAATCAATTAATACGATCGTGGTATTCAGAATTGTTCATTTCTACCTTTTTTTTCCGAATTATCATCATATAATGTGTTATTTAAGTTAAAGTATTCATGTATCTTTGTAAATTTTGTCAAAAGAATGAAAACTTATGAATTGTAAAAATTCTTTTCTTTAAACAATAAAGTAATTTTAGAAAAACTTTATACATTTGTTGAAATCGTCCAAGAGAAAAACTGTATACATTATCAATATTCACATTGTCTGAACTAAGCTAAAATTTATGTTTTAATAGAAACGGAATTTATTCCAGTTTATATGTATATGTACTGTAACACAAAGACGTGCAGCATACAAAATAGAAACATCACTTAAATTAAATAAACTTTTTGACAGACAGACAAAGATAACCAATAAAAACAGGAACTGCATCCCACAATAAGCCTCCTAGATAACAACCAATCTCTAAAAGGATAACAACAACGCCTAAACTTAAAATTTTTGAGGGTACGAACAATGAACTTCACTCGAAATCTAAATTACAGATAATAATTTGTACCTGATTCTCCTGGTCTTCCTTGTTCCCCCTTTTGTACATGGTCTCATACAATTTGAAATTAGGAAGTTGTAAACTTATATTTCGGTATTATCACCACATAATGTATAATATAAGTTAAAGTATTCATGTAGCTTCGTAAATTATGTCAAAAGAATGAAAAAAACTTATACTTTTGAAAAGTTGTTTTTCTTTAAACAATGAATTAATTTTCGGAAACCTATATATATTTGTTGAAATGGTCTAAGAGAAAATCTTCATTAATGAACTCAAATTTACATACATTACTAATTTTCACATTGTGTGAACTATGCTTTACGCCTTAAAGTTTTATATTTATGTGTACTGTAATATAAAGACGTAAAGCATATAAGATAGAAACAGAACTTCAATTACATACAACATTTTGAAATACAAAGATAACCGATAAACACAGGAACATAAAACTACAATAAACTTCTTAGACCAGGTCATTGGATGTAGGAAGTATATTTGGAACGATAAAAGAAAATCATATTCCAACTTTTTTTCGATAATATTATCGATAGGGTATTTTAAGGAATATAGACAAAGCATATTAGCAAAAACGAAAGACAAGAAAAATAAAATTAACCATAGCACGACAAGACAGTGATTAGATGTACAAGTACCGAGCCACATCAAATGAATCACTACAAAAACAAGCAAATATGTCAACAAAGACAAACAAATAGGCATATAGACAAAGCACATTAGCAATAAACGAAAGACAAGAATACAAAAAATTACCATAGCACAACAACACAATGACGGGATGTACAAGTACCGAGCCACGTCAAGTGGATACTGCCAAAAATAGGCTAAACAGTAAAAGTAATAAATTACAAAGACAAATAAAAAAATACTATAACACGTTATTAAGATGATAAACAACGTCAGTACCTAGACACATGTAAACAATCAAAATTGAAAACATTATCATTAATACATCTTTAAAAGTAAAGATAGGTTAAGTTTTGAGTCTGTACCAATGTTGGTCAAGTTTATTTATCAAATACAATGTTGCCTACAATGAGGTTACTTTGTGAGTGATTGGTCTCTTTAGGAGTTGGACAAAATCCCACTCTATACATATGTTGTTTTGTATTTCTTTGTGTGTCCTTGAACCTGGCTAAGTTTTATGTCAAAGTTTATTCCTGGGATACAATGTAACCTATTATCGTGTATCGTGATGTTGAAGTGAATCTTGCAGAGTTAGACTGCATTCAATCCTAAATTAAACACTTATACCTATATTGTAAATGTTATGTAGATATAATGTAAAGACCTGAACCACAGCAAAAAAACATCACTTAACATGATTATATAATGAACATGATATATACAGGTGTACAAACATTAATTCACTGTAAATCGTTTGACATGTATGTGCCTAGTCCATAGTAATGAAGAAGTACACTTGTCTTCGCATTCATATATCACAATGCTTAGGACTATAAATCACAGAGAGAGGTCAAATTTCGGTATTGGTTATTTGTTTTTTTATATATTAATTTCAGAGAAAACTTTACGACAAAAATCGATACATTTAGAACTATGGCTAAGATAAAAATCATTTGCAATAAGGTTCATTTTCATGTCTATTAAAGTGAAAACAGTTCAACTTTTATCCTACTTAATATTTGTTTTGTCTGTATTTTGATGTATCAGCAATACGACTGGCTTTCCATATATTGTTATTTTATCTACCCTGTTTCCTTGTCAGCCAACTGGTTAATAAACGTTTTTAAACTTTGAAACAATAAATGTGTTCCTATAAATTGAAAATAAGTTAAAGATTGAAACATCCTTACCATTGAAATGCATGACAATGAATGCAACTGCAACTGATAAACAAATCAACTGCATTACTGTCATTACCACAAATAATTTATCTCTTGTCCTACTTGCTTTATATAGGTCAGTAAGTTTATCATTCCACACATTAATTGGGATACTATATTCGTGGTTTGATGCATTCAGGTCTTCCATTGGTAGTTCATATACGTTATCAACTTGATCACCCATTTTAAATTAAAAATTTCCGGTAGAATGAACTAAAAATACAGTTACTTGTATACATATTCCTTAAGAGTTTCACCTATCATACCTATATCTAAATACATTTGTTTTAGCTTTAACATGTTTAATTGTAATGAACGTAATATAACACATTTTTATGTCAAATTACACATATTTGAGGGTCTGGATAGGGTCCTTTATTTCTCAATTCTATAAATTTGTAAGCCATTCTTCCTTGTTTATTTTCAACATTATTCTCTATTCTTTATATTGTGCCACCCAATTATTGTCTAGTTTTTATTTGTTTGCTTATTTGTCTTTTTCTTTATTTTGTTTGCCCTTTATTTTTCACTTTTTGCCAGTTATTCTCTATTTTGTAAACCCCTACAGACCCTCATACTTACATTGTGTGTAAATGATCCTTGTGTGAATTATCAATTGTAGTCTTAAAAAGTGCATTCCTCTGACTGAAATACTTGCAAACAGTTCAGCTTCATTTTTAAAAAGATCAGTTTAAAGTGTTGTTAGTTCTTAGTGCTTCTTTGGGTTTATCATCGCCATCCACTAACAATCCTTAATAACTGAAAGCCAAGGACGGATGTATGGATCCCTAAGTACGGGATGATCATTAAAACCAAAAAGTACCTAAATAGAATATCGAAATTCTTAGAAGGTAATGATTGTCTGAATGAATTAGAGCCGTAGTTTCTTATTTTTGTTTAAAAAATTTATCTAACAATGGAGAATTAAGACTTGTCAGTAATGAATCATGCCATTATAGTCCAGTCGATTTGTGGAACAATTGTTCAGATTGTGGTAAAAGCGTCAAACTTTGCAGAGTTTTAGTTTAGGCCATAGCAAACACTTATAGCTTTGGAACCAATTAAGAAAATTAAAATGGCTACTCTGGACGGCCAGTGTAATATGGCCGCCATAAAATCAAAAGAAATCATTTAAAAAAAAATTACAAAAAATAGATGGCTTTACCAATTTTAATAATCTTTGGTATATTAATCACTTATGATAAAGACTATCATCTGAGGACTTCAGATATTGAATTGTAGGCGGCCATCTTGAATGGAGGCCAGTAATTAAAACAAGAATTTCCAACATATCATTATTTGCTTTTTTTAAATTTTCTATTGCATTTATACAAATGTTTTGATGCATTTACAACTCGTTTTGAAAATCATCGTTATATGACTGTGGCTATTTATATTCAATATTCACCAAGTGTTCAAATCAAGCATGCACAAGTGTCAAAATAAATGTATCTAAAACATAATTTTTTTTTATCACAATTTTGCCTTTTTTAACTTTTTATCATAAAAATTACGTATATACAATATAATTTATGACCGTACTTTGTCGAAAAGGATAACAATTGTAGATATTGAAAACACAGGAGTTGAAAGATCTAATGAACAAATTGACTGGAAAGAATTGTGAAACGCCAAGAGAGGACACGTGAGGATTTACAATTCCCAGCAGATACCAAAAAGAACAGACATAGACATTGGCGCTGGTTATCAGTCCTTTGATGATAACATTCAAAGATGTTGCGCATTGAATTAGTTTCTCGCATCACTCAACTTGAAACAGTTGAATGAAGGCCATGGAATTGCAGAAACACTTCAGCGTCACACAACAAAATGTACTAATCCTGTCAAAATAAGTTTTCAGATCTCAAAATATGTCGTCAGGAAAAACGAAAACATATTTCTGAAGTTGAAGATGAGTCACCGATTGAAAATACCAGTAAAATAACCAGACACAGTTGTGGTGAATCAACAAGAACAAGACTGCAGTGAGGGTGATGTATCTAACGATCTTCACTATGCATCGACATTTATGATCGACAAAAGAGTACGTGACTGTGCACTTGAACTACAAACCATTGTTCTCTTAGCAAAAATCAGTGCTGGAGATTTGATATCACAGGAGCCGCGGTAGCATGCTAAATCTTTGTTAAAACTGCTCAACAAGGCAATAAGACAGAATCCGAAGACACAGAAAGAAAGTCGGGAATCTGTTATCCACTGAATTATGCTTGCCGAATTACTAGAATACATCGACGGCTCACAGTCTGGAACATATATTGTGCCAATCTTCGAGCTTGCTGATATCGCTATATTGTACAGCAAACACCTTGAGCAACTCGGAGTTGTCATGGAAGGAATGATTAATACAACGCTTCTGAAAAATTGGATACTAGCTTCCATAGAAGATATGCAAGCACACATGAAAGGTAGCGTCGTTCTCCTGATTTTCAACAAATATGTTGGGGACGTTCTGAAACAGGCTATGTCTTATAGTCGTGACGATGAAGGCATCATCATAGCCAAAGCAGATAGAATAGTTCGAAGAGATATGCTTGATACTAAGAACAGTTTTACAGGGACATTCAATGAAAGCTTTCAACATCAGTTCCGCAAACACAGAGACACGTGGCTCTCAATCTGAGGATTGATAAGTTGTAGTTGTATCCTTTCGACGACGAGTTGCACAATTGAACTGTTGTAGCTGCGAAATGGTTAGTGCTGTGTGCGACTCAACGATATTACTGGACTGTGTCTCTATGTTTGGCCCATCTAGAATCATTCTTACTAAGGAAGCTAATGTCTGTGAAACTGATTCATGTTGACAGCTGTTATTGAATGTCCCTGTAAAGCTATTCTTAGTATCAAGCATATCTCTCCAAACTATTTTAACTGCTTTGGCTATGATGATGCCTTTAATTTCACGCTTTTGAGATGTGACCTGTTTCAAAGCTTCACCAACACCGTCGTTCAAAATCAGGAGAACGAATCAACCTTGCTTGTGTGCTTGCAGATCTGATATGGCAGCTAGTTTCCTAATTTTTTTAGATGCGTTGTATCAATCCTTCCTTTCATGCTTGATGATTGGCACAATACCTTCTCCATACCGTGTGCCGTCGATGTATTCTATTATTTTGGCAAACACAATTCCATGGATAACAGATTCCTGGTTTTCCTCAGTGTCTTTGGATTCTGCCTACTTGCCATGTTGCCAAGTTTTGTAAAAAATTAAGCATGATACTTGGCCTCCTGTGATATTACATCTCCAGCACTTAGTCTGGCTAAGAGAACAGTATCTTGTGAAGAGTGCACAGTCACGTACTCTTTTGTCGATCATAAATGAAAATGCGAAGTGGAGATCGTCAGATAGATCACAACAGAAAAAAATACACTGCAGTCATTGTTCTTGTTAATCCAGCACAGCTTCACTGTGACTGGTTATTTTACTGTTTTTTTTCAATCGGCGACTTATACATTTTCAACTTCAGAAATATGTTTTCGTTTTTCCTTACGAAATATTTTATCCTTTTCGACAAACTGTGGTCATACATTATATTATATATAAACGTAATTTCTGTAGTAAAAAGTTACTTAGGCAAACATGTAAGTATAAGAAATTTTGAATCAGATACCTCTATTTCGTAAACATGTACCTTCATTATGTGACCTCTTGGTGAATATCCAATATAAATAGCAACAGTCATATAACAATTATTTTGCTAAACTAGTTGTAAATGCATAAAAACATTAGTATAGATGCAAATAGCAAATTAACAAAAATAAAGAATAATGATATATTGGAAATTCTTGTTTTCAAAATGGCCACCATTCAAGATGTCTACCAGTGCTTTAATATCTGAAGTCCTCAGATGATAGTCATTTGGTTTCATAAAACGACTGGAGTATATGGAACCCTTCTGATCATCGCTGCAGCAAGCGTATGAGTCCTGTGCTACATTAATAAAATGTGAATGTAAAAGTTAAAACGGTTGCAGAGGACGATGCAAATGTGTTAAAGCAGTATTAAGTTGTTTTACTCTGTGTAAATGTGGAGGACAATGTGATATGATATAAAAGACAGAGACAGCTATTGTGTGGTTTGACAAGACGTTACTACTCATTCATTGTGTGATATTTTTAACGTCAATTGAGAACATTTGAGCAGATGATATCCTCATGACATTACTTGTATGATATGATACCCATTATGTCTGCCATGGAGGTTTTTTGAAAGTTAATTTCAGATAAACTATATCAACCAAATGATTATTTTTATCGAATTATAAATTTGGAGATCTACCTATTTTTTCTTAACTTTGAATTTCAAGATTTTTCAAGATGGCCGCCATTCAATATGGGTAACATTTTCATAAAGTTTGTTCAACAAGGCAATTGGTATAAGCACTGTCACTCTTTTGACCAGGTTTCATGTGAATATCTTTACTAATATAATTTTCATGAATTTGTAAAGTATTTTTTAGAAATCAAACGTCCGCCATCTTAAAAATGGCCGCCTTTCCCGCCAATTTCGACTTTCAGAGTGGGTCCATAGCTGAAAAATTGCTGGTGGACGTTTCATCCCCAGGGTATCAACATCCCAGTAGTCGGCACTTTTGTGCTGACATGAATATATTATTGATGTGTTCATTTTCTGTTAATATACTGTTTATAGAATGTTGAAATATTGAAATATCTAATTTTTGGCTACACCAATGTAAAGAATGTCTTAGTCGTAGTTGGCACAAATTTTCGGAATTTTTGGCTATTAATGCTCTACAACGACGTAATTTGGCTTTGCGACAGTTTCATTCGAGAACTACTAAATAGACTTGTGTAAACGAATACGAGTCTGGCTTAGCAAATTATAAGCCTGGTATCTTTGATAATTTTTTTATACTTTTCCTGGTAGAGTTTAGGATTTATTGACACATAGGCGCATCATTCGTATAGGTGTCTATAGTTGTAGTAACCTTAGCTAGGCATACCTTGACGAGCAATGTTGTATACGGAAAGCCCATGATTCAATATGTTCTTATTCTACCGTGGTTTCTGAATTGTATTTTATACATATATATATATTAGTTAAACAGTGACTAGGAACTCCAGAAATAATACAGTTAATATGAGCTCCAGTTTACCCGCGTATCCGTCATAGTCCAAAGTTAATAGGGAAAATTGTATTCATT